GCGAATGATTAAAAAGTCATTTCTTAAAGTTTTATCATCATACTCAATTATCTTGGTTACTAAGTACATTAACTACAGTTCAAAAAGTTGGTCATATTCCAACATATAAAGTATTTTAAAAGCTCTCTACTATGTCCGACTTAAGATGTCTCACGGCTACTTTCTATACACATTTTTAGAGCATTGAATGACGAATATTTTGATGAAAAAGAGTTAACTAAAAACTAAAAGTTTTACTAGAACGCACGAAATTTTACTTAATTAATATTATTTAGCTATCGATACTGATGGTTTAGCTTGTCAAAGTCAAGATCAGCGAATATGGAATGGTGCTCGTTCAACTAAAGGAGTAAAAGGCAAAGGTAAATTGTTATTATTTACTTTGGTTTTCATATTTATTGTGTTATATGTTAGGTAGATATTATTTTGAAATAACTCAAACTGATCCCAATGGTATTGCACGTGTTGGTTGGTCAGTACCAATAGCAATAATCGATCTTGGAACTGATAATCAAGGTTTTGTTTATGGTGGTACAGGAAAAAAGTCATTTGCAAAACAATTTGATGGTTATGATGAAACATTTGGTGTTAATGACACTATCGGAAGTTTCATTGATCTTGACCGAATGAAAATTCGATTTTTTAAAAATGCTTCGTTTAAATATCATCTTTTCATATAGAAATAATCTTCGATGTTTAGGCAAAGATCTTGGCCATGCATTTGATCTTCCTCGTCCATTACAAAAGCATACATTTTTTGCACATGTTTGTTTGAAATCTACAGATGTTCGTGTCAATTTAGGTGCAGAACTAGGGATGTACAACTCACGCTCACGCTCATATGAGCGCTCATGAGCGTGAGCGTTTCTTTGGGATAGAGTACGCGATCGCTTCTGGTCATTTTTATCTAGCCTATTCCTGGAACAAAAATATTCGAACTTTTTGTAGGTGGGTCCCCCTCAGGTATCGTGAATACAATTGTTTTTTTGTTGACGAGCCAAAATAGTAGGAGTTTGAAAATTTAGGAGTGCTGATGACGAATATCATCGTAAGAACTCTCAAAAAGCTTTGATCTGTGAAATAGCTCTAATCACTAGTTGCCCCGCTTTCCTGATTATTTGACCCTCCTAGCATAATTATTAACTAAAATTCAGCGAAAAACACCATTTCTATCTCAGAATTTTGGGTTCTATGCGAATATAAACTTTTTACAATCACAAACTGTAAGATTTGCAAAGGAACTAGTGATTCCACAGCAGAAATTAGCATTTTCTTTAACATATCGAATTTTGTACCAATGAACGTTTGTGAAGTCAGTCCTATTACAACATAAGATTCGAGCCATCAATGTAATTTTTCGACATCTTTCTATTGGTAGTTACAAAAATGTAGAAGAGCAGATATAACAAGGTGAGAAGTAAAAAAATATAGAAAGCGTTTGTCTTCGTCGAAACAAATATGGCCGAAAAAAAGATCACCTAAATTAAATATTATTGAATTAGAGAGCATCAATATAAACATCCGAATCTCTTGTAAATTAGCTGTTTGATAAGCTTTGGTTCGATGATCTTTATCTAAATGATGTGAACATCGTGGAAGAGCACACTCAATGGAATACACTTAACTCAGACGTATCTCTGTTGAGTTTGGCTATACTGGCATAGTTTTCTGCGTCAAATTAGTGTTTTGAAAACACAATTTGCGCACGAAATGTTCTATTTTCTATCCTCTCTTGATCGAAAACTCGAGAGAAAAAGAAACAGGGTACCACTACGTCAAATGTTGAAACCTGTGAGATTATTTTCAGTTTGTACTATATTTATCTAGGTTTTTGTGAGTTTGAAGGTGCCCAGGAACATGCCAGGATTTCGAATTGACCAAAGTAATGATTCCTTTGTAATTTCCTGTCAGCATGTAGCCTCATTCACGCAACGTAGGACTGCATGAATTATATTAGGATATAACATCATATGATTATATACCTGATAAAAACTAAGGTAACTTCTTCGTTAACTCCAATTGATTAGCACTTCAAACTATGATCATATGTGATAGTCATCATTACTGTTATTTTTTTGTTTGTCTTTCTTGGATCTCATATATGACTAATGTCTTGAAAATTCACTCGCAATCAACTGATCACTGGAACATCACTAGCATTTTACACATTAAACAGTAATTTTTATCGGAAAGTAGAACTAAACTTACTCTTAATCTAGCATACATCGAAAATTATTAGGATCATTACCCTTAAGAGCAGAGGATAATGGGGGAAAACCATGAGCATAATGATATATTTTATCTATGCCTTTTGAAGTAGCTATGTAACTGTATCAAAACGAGACAGATTTACTATTCATATCAATATAAAACATTCGCGTCCAGATATTATTAATTTTGGTGAACATATTATGTATTTCTTTTAATTCAAACTATCTTTTTAATGGTTGGGGAAAAAGATATAACCCAATACCGAATATGATTTGATGAAATTGAACGGAGCCTCTTATGATATCTCCATGCTTTTCTTCATCATGTACAATTACACCTTTTCTTCACCTCTTGCTCGCAATCAGACAACAGTTACAGATGACTTCTTGGAATTCTCAAATTTATTCAGTTGGTAATATAATCTTTTCTTTTTCAAATCCATTATACAAGCGAGCCCAAATACTGTTTTTTGCACTTATTTGTTCTCTAGGAGCAATTTACCACTAACTCACCGTATAACTTATATCAGACGTGATAACAATTGAGAATCTCATCCACTTCCTTCCATATTCGCTCTGATTTGTGTAAAACTCACCATCATCAACTAATAGAGACATAGCAAGGTCGCTCAAAACCTAAGGCTTTCTTTCTGAAAAGCCCATCATCATTCAATCAATTATAGAAAAACTCACAGAATGCCTTGAATTAACCTGAATATTCCAGTATTTTCGAAATTTTCCTCTGTTATACCTGATTTTATCTTTTCGCGACTATCAATCAATAGCGCTTGAAGAGCGAAATATATGCCCCCAGTTTTAGGTCCCATAAAGACTAATTTCACGCTAAAAATCAAACATATAGAGATAAATCTAGTAAAAAAGGCCTTCTTTCACTTGACGTCCGAGTCCTCGACTTGTTTCACATCATTTTAATTCTTTTTTTAAGTTACCAATCGATAGAGCTGGAAAAATTACACGTATAGTCCGAATTTTTAGGTGCAGTGCCAGTGACTTCATAAACCATCATAGGGACTAGATTCTATTTCTTAAAGAAAAAATGAACTTTTGCTTGAACTCACTATTCTGTTTCCAAATACTACAGCGTAGGGTTGTAATAAGTTCAGATTCATATAGAGCGCAAAATTATGAATTAGAAAATATGCTTTCCGTTGAATTTTAGTGAATAATAATGCTGGGAGAGCCAAAATAATGAGGAATGAGTTCAAAGAGTGATTAGAGATATTTCAAGAATGAATGTCTTTTTAGAGGCCTGATGATAATATTCGTCATCGCCACCAGTAAACCTTCAAATATATATGATTCTGGCTCATTAATAAAAAAAATAGTATTCACGATACCTGAGGGGTACCAAAGGCACAAAAATTATGAATGCAGCTTTTCGAAGAATAGACTAGATACAAATGATCAGAATCGATCATGTATTTCGATGGCATACAAGCACTCTCGCTCACGCTCAAATGAGCGCTCATGAGCGTGAACTGTACACCCCTATGCAGAACCATTTAAAGGAACACCAGTATGTTTTTATTTTATTGTTTCATAATCTATTAAATATAAACAATATATTTGTATGTGTTTATCGTGGTGCTGTGCCAATTGATATTGCACCAAAAGCATGTTTAGTTCAATCTCAAGTCAAACGTATTGCTACTAATGCAACAGCACGATAACGTCCATCAAATGCTCCAAGTAAAAACACACTGGTGTTCCTTTAAATGGTTCTGCACCTAAATATACTCGAACATCTGTAGATCTCAAACAAACATGTGCAAAAAATGTATGCTTTTGTAATGGACGAGGAAGATCAAATGCATGGCCAAGATCTTTGCCTAAACATCGAAGATTATTTCTATATGAAAAGATGATATTTAAACGAAGCATTTTTAAAAAATCGAATTTTCATTCGGTCAAGATCAATGAAACTTCCGATAGTGTCATTAACACCAAATGTTTCATCATAACCATCAAATTGTTTTGCAAATGACTTTTTTCCTGTACCACCATAAACAAAACCTTGATTATCAGTTCCAAGATCGATTATTGCTATTGGTACTGACCAACCAACACGTGCAATACCATTGGGATCAGTTTGAGTTATTTCAAAATAATATCTACCTAACATATAACACAATAAATATGAAAACCAAAGTAAATAATAACAATTTACCTTTGCCTTTTACTCCTTTAGTTGAACGAGCACCATTCCATATTCGCTGATCTTGACTTTGACAAGCTAAACCATCAGTATCGATAGCTAAATAATATTAATTAAGTAAAATTTCGTGCGTTCTAGTAAAACTTTTAGTTTTTAGTTAACTCTTTTTCATCAAAATATTCGTCATTCAATGCTCTAAAAATGTGTATAGAAAGTAGCCGTGAGACATCTTAAGTCGGACATAGTAGAGAGCTTTTAAAATACTTTATATGTTGGAATATGACCAACTTTTTGAACTGTAGTTAATGTACTTAGTAACCAAGATAATTGAGTATGATGATAAAACTTTAAGAAATGACTTTTTAATCATTCGCAAAAAAATAGAGTTAAAATTCTGACATCAGATTGTCGATAGATAATACTTCGTTTTGGATCTATACCAGAAGTGATTAACGATGCAGCTGTTTATAAGACTGATTTTCTAAAAAAAAATTATTAAAAGAAAATCTTTTCTTTTATTCTATTAATTTTTCTACCTCAACGCATCAGGTTCACATGGTACTGTCACACCATGTAAATCAGCTAACATAACAACCAAATTATCTCCACTATTTTGTAGATCGATCCATTTTTTAATCGCACCTATGAATAGAATATACAATGATGAGTGAATTGTTTTGTTTATTAAAATTACCTAAATAATTTCCTATATGTGGAACACTTGATGGTTGTATACCACAAAGAATGCGTCTCTGAAACAGCTAAAATATGAACAAAACAACATGAGATCTTTAAAATATGATTTCGTTATGAAAATGCATCCGTCTTTGTTTGTTTGTTTTTTTGAATATCATAAATATGATAAAAATTTATAGATTATATTAATTAATGTTTTTGTCGATAATAATAGCATGAAATAATATTTCAGCCGCTTCGATGACTGTCTTACTTTCAATTAATTTTAATTCATTACCGCAAGTATTATGAATATTAATTGATTCAGATAATTCCAAAAATGCAATATATAAAATTATTTACTAAATAGAAAAATCTTACCAATAGTTTTTAATAAAACTTAATGAAGAACAGAAATAGATTTTTCACAAGCTGACTGTAAAAGAAGCCAATCACGGCAACGAAGATCAGAAACGTCGCATGGTGATATTGAAGCCTTGCCATTTGCAAGTGAACGTTTACCGCAGCATACTAAAAAAGAAATAAATGGAAAATTAATAAATGTAACTAGATTCACATATTGCTTTGTATCTGTAGTCAATAAAATGCTTTTTATTTTTGTTCCGTTGTGGGTGTGAACCTTTTATGAGTATCTACACAACAATGATGAAATTGGTTCGTGTTTTTTTAACTGAATCAGTCACATCTCTGTCGCACACCGATGCTGATATCCTGTGACTTTTAGCAAAGTGAAAAAATGTTTGAGTACAAAAGGTTTTAGCTGAAACTTAGCCATTCGATTATTTTAAAGATGAATCTTCATATAAAAACAAAGCCGACATAATGAGTATAACTAGAAAAGAAAAAATTCAACAATATAATACGATTGTAGACTATCTTTGGTCTCGATAGATTCTATCGAATGAAAAAATGATTTCACCTTAAACAATTCCATTTCATCCAGCAGAATGCCTCCTCCCAGTTATCATTCAATCAATAATGTTTGAAAATCATAATTAAATTTAAGTGGATCATAATCATATTTATAAAACAATATTACCAGATTTTAGTCTCGATTATTTGACAGAGCACTATAACTTTGCATCAAGATTTTGATCATAGAATTTTGTTTTAGATTTTAATATTTTCTCTCTCGAACAGAAACTAAAATTATCTCAGTTGGATTAAATAATCTATTATTGAATTACTAGCTTATTAAAGTATTAAAAGTTAGATAAGAACAAGACATAAAATGCAACATAGTTTGCTAGTAGAATAAAAAGATGAATGTTTACAAATAAGCACATCATTGACTAAGAATAGAGAATATCGAGTATGTGATATATTGATATTTGAAATAGTTCATCGCTACTTTCTTCTATCAAGATGTAAAAGATGAACCACCACCTACATGTCCTATTCTCGATATTAATTTCTTTTTGAATCTTTCATTATGTGTGCCGTAAGTGAACACATGTCAATGTTAAATTTGCTAAGTTGGAAAATATCATCAATCCAAATAGTATCATCTTTCTTAACACTCGTTTGAAAAATATCATGACTAGGGTGTAAAATCGACAAAAAGAAATAGTAGTTTTTTTTAAGTCACATTCCAAGTGTCTAAATGAAACTGGTATTGTTGTATCTCAAACGAAACATAAAAATTGTGGTTCAGATTCATTACAACTTATTAATGCTGCATCTTAATATCGATTGTAAAGGCAGATAGGGTGTGGGTGTGGGTATGGATATAGTTCTTCTTGTCACACCCATACCCAAAGGTTGAAGAGGTATTTGCAATAGTCGTGGAGAGACTGGGAGTTATTGTGTTATATTGTAATACATCATAAACTTTAACCTTTTTGTGTAATGAAAAACTTGAATGAGGAACAAGAAATTCTTTCGAGGAAAATGCTCATATGAGGAAAATAAAGTTAAGTATGATATGCGCAATGGAATTAACCTTGAGGGCGTGGGTGTCAATAGAGGATAGGCACCAGAGCTCCGCGTGGGATGGGAGAATCCCATCCCATCCGATCCCATTCGTCCCATTGGATGGAAACTTTTTATTTTTATTTCATGGGATGAGATGGGGCGAAAATTTTATTGAGTCGTCGCAACCCACGTCTCATGGGACGAAGAAATATTATATGAATCTATTCTTTTTAGTAAAAACTGTATAGTCTTTTCAATATAGATGTCGCATCCAACTGTGTGAGAAAAATAGTTAAAAATACAAATTATACGTGATCAAGTAGTGCAGCCATTTCGATTCAATGTACAACAAAAAAATAATGAACCTACGCATAGAGAAAAAATGCAATTTCATCTATTGTAACAGTAACAATTGATTTAGTTATTGTGGCTTATAGCTGGTGAAATGTCTTAGAATAGTTCGTTCCATAGAAAATATGAAACTTGTACAACGATTTGACACTGAAACTTTATACTTTTATTTATTTATTTCCAGTTGTTTTTGTATTCAATGAAATATTTTCCTTTCTCATTTACTACTTCTTTTCTCTACTTTTAAAAATACTGTATTTATAACCAGGATGATGGCATTATTGTAATATGCAAAAAGAACAGAAATTCAAACTCTCAGCTTCATTTTAATAAAATCATGAAATGTGACATCTTACAGAAAAATTTGACATTTCAGACGTTCCATGGGATGGGATGGGACGGAAAATGTTTCGTCCCATCCCATCCCATGGTGGTACAACTTTTTTTTACTTATCCCATCCCATGGGACTGATTTCAATAATTTGTCCATTCGATGATTTTTTGTGTCCCATCCCATCCCACGCGGAGCTCTGATAGGCACGCCCATCCATCCAAAAAATGTTGTTCGATATAAAGTTTTATTTAAATAAAGTTGACTAATTACATTTTGATCTGAAACAAATTGAGTTGTTACTTGAGAATCAGAATTTTCAAGTCAAGAATATGAATCATTAATGGTAATAGGTGATGAAGATTTTTCACCATATGCAAATGAGATAGATGAATCGATCACGACTATTCATGGATGAGTAATAATAGAAGACATCGGAAATAAGATGAAAAGTCTTTTATAATAACCAAAGATAAATAAAAGTTTACACGATGATGAATACAAAAAGTTTTATTTACGCATAACGAAAGAAAAAAATATATATCTGAGAATGAGCCTGAATGAGTCAAAGAAAGAAAAATTTCAAGTTTTGACAACGCCATTCAACATAGACAAAAATTTATCAGTTTATGTTTTTATTGTCATTTAAACACAAGTTGGGCCATAGCATTCATATATTCTTCGTTCGTAATGATATTTGCTAGTAAATCATTCACAAGTTTCATCATTTGTGCTTTCCGTTCAGTTTGTGAAACCTATAAAAAGAAATATATATATAAGTAGTTAAGATGGCAAATATAAAACCTATTGCTTGATCAATAACTACCTCTTTTTCTGACATATTCGACTTATTTCCTAGACTGTATAGTTATATATATAAATGCTTCACGATAACAATGAGAAATGTCAAAAGAAGACGGTGACATTTATAGAATAGAATATTATCCGAAACAGACTAGACGAATTCAACAATGTGAATTAAGAGATGTGATTCGTGTTTCTACGTAATAACAACACTAATCACCTTTGTTAATTCACTTTTAATTCGTCTAGTCTGTTTCAGTCAATATGTATAATGACACGACAGGTCAATGATGATCATATTTTTATTAACAATTTTCTTTTCTATCGTGCATTGCCTAATGACGAGGAGAAAACATTTAGATAACGAAATTTTTCTTTTCTAAAAAAAACTATGTAGTTGAACTCGTTCAGTTCAAAAAAAGCATAACTTTCGCTAGGTTTTATTCAGAAAGTCTCATAAACGCAGGGAGAAAACATTTCCCAACTTTCTTGATAGTCTTATCACGAACTTGAGATTGTTGAAGTGGATCAGCTGTTGTATTACCAAACTGCAATTGTTGTTGAGAAATAAAATCACCTGGATATGTGCTTGCTGTTGCATGATGATTTTGTTCCAATTGTTGAGAAATAAAATCACGTGGAATTGTACCTGTTGTCGCATGATTTGGTTGAAATTGTTGTTGAGGAATAAAACAATATTGATTTATATTAGGTGGTGGACAATTTGGTTGAAACTGACGTTGAGGAATAAAATCACGTGGAATTGCACCCGATGCTGGACGACTTGGTTGAAATCGTCGTTGAGAAGGAAGACGATGTGAATCTGTGCTAGCTGTTAAAGCATCAAATTCAAAACGTGGTGTACCAATATTAGCCGTTTCATCATCATCATCATCATCATCCTAAACGATACAAAAAATATCCAAGCACTTTTTTTATTAAAATGTTTTAAGCATTCATATTACTTCATTGTCTGATATATTGGCAAGTGGTTGATCATTAAGAGCCGTTGGACAACCTTCTCTCTCCCGGACTAAACGGACGAATGCTGAGTAATGATATTTTCGTACATGCTTCAACCAATCATCTCTTTCTGCCGTATTAAAAACAGTACATTGATTGCATATGAATTGACCATGTACTAAAAAAACTACAATTTTATTAATTGTTAATGATACATGTCTGAAGTAGAAGTTGATCGATCTTTTCATTCGAATACGCATATCTGATGTTTCTTATGTTGGATAAATACTAGAATTAATGCTAATTGTCACTCAAAATCAAGTATATTTCTTGCAAAAATGGTGATAAATGGCTCTTATTTCGTTTTTATTATATTTTGAATTTTATGTAATTTACCATCCATTGATAGATCATACCCTTCAAATAATTTCTTGATGGGTTTGGTTAAATTAATCATCTAAAGGAAAAGTTCGTATTGATGATTTATATCGATTACTTCATATAGCGTTTAAGATAATTAAAATATGAAACGATTAGGCCATTGAAAACATGAAGATTTATTTATAATAAAAACGAATTTAACAGTGTGATGAAAATAAGTTTATTAAATTAAAAGATAAAAGTTAACAATTACTTAAGGTAATTAGCGAAAGTGGCAGTGCTACTTGTTCATATGCATTATACATATATTTTTCAAGCACTTCCGTTAATTCTAATAAAAGACGGTCATCACTTATTTTTAACCGTTGAAAGAAGTATATCACTTGATGATAATGATGATGTTACGAAAAAGTTTGTTATGGATGATGGCATTGAAGAATGATTCATTTTTTCTGATGCAGATGTTTCTACTTTTTTTTGATATTGTTATCAATGGACTAAGAGAAAAACTAAAGTTTCTCTACAACAAGCTATTGTTGATAAAACGTTCGACTCTTCTGAAAAATATAAAAGAAGTTTTGTATTTTACCTTCGAGTGCTACAGAATGTTTCGCGTGATTTTCGAAATGACAGTTTTAATTCATTCATTACACAAAATTAGACACATTTCCATATAGTCTAAAAATAGATCTAGAATTTAATTAAAAACAGGTATTTTTGTATATAAATTTTTAATATACCAAATCAATACATTATGTTCAAAATTTAGTAATCATTTATAACTTAATAAACGATGTTGATCTCCAGATAGTTAGTCTTCTTTGAAGATATACCAGGAATCCCAAAGTGCTTGCACATTTTATTTTGTATATATCTGAACATGAATAAATGATAAAATCTTGATTTTTTTTCAAAAGATGTACGGTCGAAAGTTCTACAAAAGCTGTACGAACAAATCTATATCGACTTGCTCTGATGGTTTTTCTAGATGATTAAAAGTGATGGTCTCTCATGACATTGCTACCAGATGTTCCAAAATGTGTACAACATAGTTTGTTTTGCGAATATCTCTGCATAGACAAATGATAAAATCTTGGTTTTCTTTTCCAAAGATGCTCGATGAAAAGCTCTACAAAAACTATAAAAACAAATCCTCATTGACTTATTCTGATAGTTTTTCCATACTCGAAATAGAAAATGTTACATGGTAATGCTACTTTTCACCGTATTTAATATGATAAACATATTTGAAAAACTTTTTTTTATTTTGCGTGTATCTTGTCTTCAAAAAATGATATCACCTTGTTTTTTTTTCAAAATATGCGACGTTGAAAGCTCTACAAAAGTTGTCTGCACAAATTCTTATTTCAATATAAAAAAAGGTTGGAAGACCTTTTTTATGCTAAAGATAGTAGAAAGTAGCACTAAAATGTGTGTTTCATTTTGAGTATAAGGAAAAATCATCAGAACACGTTAATAGGGACTTGCTCGGGCATTTTTTGTAGAGCTTTTCATAACACATCTTTTGAAAAAAAAATCAAGATTCTATCATTTATCCATGCTGAGATCCATGCTGAGATACATGCAAAATAATAAGTGTGCAAACATCTTGAGACATCTGCTATTATTCCTTTTATGTATTCTGAGGAAATATTCGAAAAGTTCTTCCAAATTTTTTTCAATTGATGTTTTTATACTTCCTCGATGAAGGTTAGTGTTAACTTGTTAAAACAAAATTGAAGTAAGTAGTTTTGTTTCATGATGAGCATTAAAAAACAATCATAATATCTCGAAACTTTTAGAAATACACAAGGTAGATATGTGTATCATAGCAAGTTTTCAGTTGCGATGGATATCTCTGATACAAGATAAAAGAAACAGTATCATCACAACTATATAGACTATTTTAGAATGTTTAAATCGTCGATGTATCGAGAAAAAATGACTTTTTTTCTCTAACAACCAGTGCATTATGGCCAATTTTCACTATTACCAAAGCTTAACTAGTCAATTCCAAGACACCAGAGAAGTTGCATATAGTCCCAAAACCTTAATTGACAATTTGAACTTAACGCTAATGCATAATGTTCAAAGCCACTATGAATTTCTATCAAGTCTTAGAAATTATTAATCTATCGTCTATTCGTTTTATATAGTCTGACACTAATATCCTCTTTTTACTTACATCAATAGTAGCATGAAATAATTTACGTAGAAAAAGTAACGTAAATAATCTATTATCTTCTTATGATAATGGATTAATAATTTTCGCAAATCAACTCAATATTAATTTTCTAAATAACATAAAAAAAATATTCATTACATTTTTAAAGAATTCTCTAACTTTGTGTATCATGACAACTAAAATGACTTTTAACAATAAGAAGATGATGAAATTTAAGTAAATCTTCAAAATTATCTTTTGTTAAATTTATTAAGCTCATTACACTATTTGTATTTGTTTTTTAAATCTGAATTGTAAATAAAATGTTAATATCCAAAATAATTATTTATAAAAATAATATCATTTTAAATTAATGGCTAACGCTGCACAATCAAAATAAAAAGTTTTAAACATATCATAATAAATAGCGGGGTATTGCTGAGCTAATGTCTAATTTATTAATTGAAGATGTTTAATAATTAAAAAGTGATGGTGAAAGTGCATATATCTATATTTAATAATTTATAATTTAATAATAAAATCATTCTAACAACGCATCCTAATGAAGTTTTCTTTTATATTTTCAATTTGATATAAAGTACTACAATTAAAAATAAGTATTGCTTCTGCATCATCTTCATTGAAATTACTAATTATTAGAGATAATAATATTTCATTATCGATGATAGGTGAGTTTCATTGTAGAAAATTTTAAAATACATGAAGATTTTATGTTGTATCAGCTAAAACAGCTTGATAAATTTTTTGAACAACTGAAAAGTTTTTGTATTTTAAAAAGACAACAATTAAAGAATTGTAAAATATTTTGAATAAGCTGAAAAAACGTAAATAGAACAAAAAATTAATCACTATTTTACTAAATTTGAATATAAAAATCGATAAAGTTATGTATACATGAATTTTCCTCACATTAAATTAGCTAATGTTTCGCACGAATCATGATAAACTAATTGAATAACTTTCATAATTAAACAAAGTAAATTAACATCTGCTTCATATAGCCAATTGTGTATATGAAGGATAGTTTGTTAAATAATAAAATCAAATATATATTTTTGAAGTTTTTTATGACATGGTGAAAATATAATACAAGTAGCTGTGTTTAACATGTTTAACTAAACATCAAATAATTTATCTTATTTGATTATGGTTGTTGTATGTAAATGTTTTTGTAAGAAATCATCCGCATATTTAATTAGAAATAAAATTGATGTTGAAGCAAAATCGTCGAAAAGTACATGAAAGATAATAGTAAAAGTTCTGAAAAAAAAGAACTGAATTAAGAAATAGGTAAAAATCATAATCATTGAATCATTATATCGATGCTTTTTTTTCTTTGTATTAACAACAAAAAATGAGCATATTTAGGAAGACAGAATTACATTGAAAAATGAAGAAGAAGAAGAATGCGGAAGACAATCTTGTTTTTTGTCGAGTGAGACATGCATCATATCTCACATCATCTCTATTAATTGTTGAGGATTAATAGCCATGCCATCGATATGAAACGAAGTATTTGTGTGAATAATTTAGAAAATATATGGCAACCTTTTTCTCTATAAACCATGATTAAAAGATTACCACAAACGATGATATACTTAGTTAACAATTTTGAAGACTTTTCGCCTCTTCTAGGAGATCAATAGTTATGCTAATGACTATCGAAGTATCTCCGATTCCTTTTTTCATGTTAGCCTCATAGAAATTATGTCGAATATTTTTGAATAAAAGACCGTTTTTATTTTTCTATGACATAGCAATATGTAATAAAACAATAGAGTATATAGTCTTCCTTTCTGAATATTTACTTATATAAAACAAGAATTTTGTCTCTAAAAACGAAACAAAATTATCATCATTACTTTATTTTTGATGTTCAAAGTGCTGAAAAAACAGAAAGAAATGGTCAACTTCTATCAACAACAAGACGAAATTTTCATTTATTCATCATTCGATGATTATCAACATTTTCAATAAAATTTTCTAATAGCAATTTGTTTCATCCAAAATGGACGCAGTTTATGTAATACTTGAGTTGTATATTCAAGAATACAATTAGTAGGTAATGATTCAATTATATTAACCGATAAGAATATCAACAATGTCTTTCAACAGAAAAAGATTTATAAAAATATTTTTCTTTTAAAATATATGTAATAAAAATCTCTCGAAATATCTGAGGATAAATATTCGAAAGATTAATAATCGTATGTGTAATAATAAGAACTATTCATACTGCAGATAAACCACTGATTGAAGACGGCTTTTATTTGTTCATTTACATTGTGTTGAATATGATTAGTTAAACATAACATTTCATGTTCATTTTGAATATTATAACGAAATGCATCGACAAGTAATTGTCTTTGAACATCATATTTTTCTACATTTCATTTTAAGATTCAAATAACCATTCAGCAAATCTTAAACAAAAAACAATATATATATACAAGTAAAGCACTGGTTTTATTCTAATTTCGTTAGCATTCATTGAGCATTAGATATTGAATTAATTTCATGTAACGAACGAGTTCAGATAAAATAGTTTCGCTGAATCTGTAAAAAAAAATAAAAGATGATACAAAGAACATGTGTTTTTAATTATTCGAACAGTACATTAAATACTGATTAAGCTAATTTTTATAAAAATCTGAATAATATTGAAGAAAGAAAGACTCATTATAACTTTGAACAGAAATCAAAAATACTTTAATTACCTTTCTACTAACAAGTTTTTCAAGATAGACTTCAGAATTCTTGAATACGTTAAATACGAAGAAATTTTAATAAAATAGGTGAGAATATTTTGAATCATCATCAACAACAACTTTTGTAGACCTTTAGACATTCTTTCAATATTCTTATTATCAACGAGATTATCCGATTGTGATCGAGATCGAGGATAATCGCTATGGGGTCAAACAGACTAGAAAAAATAATACTGAATTAAGCAACATGATTGATTAATTCAGTTTTAATTCATCGCGCTTTTAAGATGAATTATTGGTTAATAAATTATTAAGGCCCCAAACAGACCGAAAAAATAAAACAGAATTAACCACCAAACCGTCTCAAAAAGATGACTCAAGCGTGAATTAACCAATCATGTTGCTTAATTCTGTTTTATTTTTTTGGTCTGTTTGACCCCTATGTAATTACCATATAGAATCATAATAATGATTATTACGAGATAAATAAGATAAGATGACATTATGCTTTTAAAACATCATAATAAAGAAATTGTTTTTTTAATTAAAAAAATATAGAAAATTCTGAATTGTTTACTATATAGAATACTTCAACCTTTTTCGTAGAGAATAAATGAAAAGAGGGCGCTCAATGACAGTCAATTTATGGAAGCTTTCTATATATTTTTTGTTAGAATGATATTTAATGTGTAAAACTTTCATCAAGTATTTGTAGTATCCCAGGTCATTATCGATCAGTCGGTTCTTGTCGGACGGGTTATAATTCCGATGTCACATGGTGACCGGATTCGTTTGGCTAATTTCTGGTGAATTCCTACGATTTTCTTTGTTTTCTTATGAAATCTGGTGGCCAGATTCTCCGAGAACCGGCCAGATTTACATTGCCGGAAAATATCAGGTCATATAATACGATTTGGCCGTATACGACGTGATCCCACAATATCCGGTGACGAAACTTTACCGGAAGCCGCCGTGGCGCATGACGCTAGATTTCATGGTAGATGCAGCTTAATCAGTCTCACCGGAACCAATCGGATCATATCAGAACCGAACGGTTCTACTCACCGGGTTATGCAACTTACAAAAGCACAGATCTGACAGACAATATCTACAACTAATTACCAGATGCTAAAAGAAGATCCTATAATCCATTCCGACCCGTAGTTAACAGCTCACAAAACCGATGAAAAGCACGAATCAAAAATTATCGTTCATCCAATAGCTTACATACAAACCATCAGTCTACATGAGCAACATGAATAAGTATTTACTAATCCTACACGAAGTTATCCACCCGAACGAATATCACTCAACTCGTTTATCATAACTCCAGTCAGTATAACTTAATTCTACGCCCCACTCCTCGTCAAATCCCAAATCCACAACCATTAATGACTACTCCGGGCAAGCAAAGCTTCCCATGTACACAGACTCTTCTTCCTCTATGCAATTCGATAAAATTTAAAACATGTTACACACGTGCTTCCTCCGTCTGACAACGCCAAAAGCATCATTTCAAATCACCAACAAACGCTTTTGCGGACGCTCCAATGTTGCTTACACATAATATTAAAATTCACCATCCCATCAAACCGCTTTCGAGCGTCGCTCAAAATCCTGTTCCATGCAAAAAGGCTATGCTCGGACCATCGAGAATGCTCATCTCAACGATTCTCAATGTCTTAGTCAATTTTTCGACAAGTTCAGGTTAAGCTGTGGAGTGATTTTCGTCGAAGGAAAGTGCGGTTAGTTCCGTAATGAAAGATGCTTAGAATCGTGTTTAATGAAGAAAAGGTAAGTTGGAACCATCGAGAATGATTATCTGAACGATTCTCAATATCCTAGTGAATTTTTCGATAAGTCCACGTTCAGCTGTGGAGTGATTTTCGTCGAACGAAACTATGGCTGCAACCGTAATGAAAGATGCTTAGAATTCTGTTTCATGAAGAAAAGATAAGTTCGAAACACCTAGAATCGTTGTCTGACTGAATCTCCGTATCTTAGTGAATTTTTCGATAAGTCGAGGTTAAGCTGTGGAGTGATTTTCGTCGAAGGAAAGTACGGTTAGTTCTGTAATGAAAGATGCTTAGAATCGTGTTTAATGAAGAAAAGGTAAGTTGGAACCATCGAGAATGATTATCTGAACGATTCATTACGACTGATGCCATATTTGGGTTGATGGAAAATGATGCGTGGTGTAATTTTTTTAAAAGTTTTGATGAATAAGATCCCTGGTTTTTTACTTTTAAAATGTTAATACTGCATGAAAAAGTTAGTGATGAGCGGCCTGGAGTTTCATTCAGATCCAATTTCCGTGAATTATCAACGATTTCGATGGGTGCAAAATGATGTTTGGAGCGATTTTCGCTGAATTAGTGTGCGAAAGGACGACTCTTTAAATGTGTTTAGAATGATATTTATTGATGAAAAAAATGGTGGTGACGTTCCGGAATGATATTTAGAAGGATTTTCCAGGAATTGTTAATTATTTCGATCGGTTCAAAATGATGTTAGGAGCGATGTTTCCAAAAACGGAAATGCAAGAAGATGACGCAGTAAACGAGTTTATAATTAGTTTAATGAATACGATGTATTGTAGGATGGTTCTGGATCATTCAAAGGGTGTATATAGGTGAGTCAGATGTTGTTCGTTCTGGGTTACAAGTTTTCTCATAGTGTTCGCTGTGGGGGGTGCTGTGCGTTTTCTTGAAGAGTACAGTTGATCCATCTTGTGATTGAAGAACGCTTTTATGAGAGATTCTTTATGTGGTCCTTGTCACGGGAATCTGATGGAATCCGGCGAAATATGTGGTGAAACCCTCGTGAACCCGGCATCATCCGGTAGTCGGCGTCGATCGGTTTCGACAATGTTCGGCTGTGTTATCCGGCAGGAAACGACCGGATCATTTTCCTTTGATTTCCGGCCCGGATTCCGGGAGCAGAGATTCCGGCGAAATCCCTGTCGGATCCTGCCAGATTTGAGTGGGAAAGGTGCCGGCTTCTGGAGTGATCCGGTGCTGGTTCCGATGGGTTCCGGCAGGATCCGGAGGCAGGATCGAGTGTCTTGGGTATCAACTGCTGTGAAGCGTGTGAAGTAGCAATCGTTAACAACATCTGGAGTGCAATTGAAAATGAACATTATTCGCCTCGACAACAACGTAAAAGAAGAAAACAAAGTGGGATAGATGACACTGAATTTTAATCACACAATTGCCGCAAGCAATATCATTTCATTTATCATCAATACATCATCTGCGCATCATTCATCTGATTATCCATTATCTTATATACCCAACGACGCATGAATGTCAGATATTTATAGATAAGCAAAAACAAACGGTAAAAGAAAATATTATCTTTTAACTGACAAAGTGATGGAACGTGTGAAAAAGTTTCTTTTTTTAATTCATTACCCAGAGGGTGCATTAATTTTTCTATTCTGTCGTACCTAGTTGACGCGCTACAATGGATTAAGCTAAATAAGAGATGTGAAAAGTTTTTTTTGTGAAGAATGTCTAGAAAATTGAATTTTGTGATATTATATAGATTTATATAACTCTTTAATGTGTTCTTCGATTATCGCTGTGATGTTCAGCTATTTGTTATTAATAATTTGTTTTTATGTGGCGTGCTAAGATACTCTGAATATGGAATGAAAAAAGGAACTCTTTTCAGCATTATAAAAATAATTCAAGCTATTGTAATAGTGTCAATGATTGATGTCATGTGTATCCGACTTTTTATTGTGTGATAATGTTCAAAATTATCAATTTTTTCTATATTCTCTTACGATATTGTTTCATTGGAGTGTTTTTTTTTATTGTAAAGACGCTCAGGAGAGCGTCTGATCTGAGTGGGAGGGTGTGCCGATATTGATGGCGCGCTCCGATGATTCTCCTTCCTTCTCTTTCTGTTCTCTTTCCATTGTTCTTATATAGCTCTTTCTTGTCTCTCTTTTATCTCTCTCCTATATATACGTGTGTTATGTATGAAGTTGAGAGACAACTAGAGATGTCAGATGACACAATACGCCATCATGTCGACGGACATAGGCGACAGTCTCTAGTTTTGTCGTTACACTCTGTATGCTTGAAGTAGCCTAATAAACATCTTTGCCGAGAGTGGCACAAGCTACCCCAATCGAGTTGATCATTACTTTAAACCATATTGAATTTCATCGTGTGTTGCATCTTCACCTAGGAATGTCTTGATTAAGTCAGTTTGTATATCAGCTATGATATCCATTCAATCAATGTCTTTTCGATCTTCAATAGTAGCTAATAAATGTTGTGTTTCTTGACTGTCTCATTTCTTCTTCTTGAATAAGTAATTGTTTGAGTACATCATGTTGTAATAGTTGAAATACTCGTAGTTGTTTTTGGAGCGAGGATTGTCATTTATCATCGAACAAATCATCACTATCTTTATCTTCATTATCAATAAGATTTGGCAATATAATATTTTTCAAATTCGGAACATCGCTTGACACGGAATAGTTTTTAATTTTAGAGAGTAGTTCTGAGAGTAAGGCTTGTGATCGTAAAACAGAATTTTGTACATCAACCGGTGCCAAATGTTCAAGATGATCAGTATGCTCAAATTCGAATACAAGAACATTTCTTATTGCTTCGGCTGATTCGCTTGGTATTTTATCAAAATCGTGTCGACCACTTGTAAAATGATACATACCACCGCGTAAACATAATACTATGTGAAACATACTCCCGTTTTGGATGTTGTAATCGGAGAGAGTTCGCTCGTCTTCTAATTTTTTACTCGCAAATATTAAACGTTGTTGATCTGAAGGAATACCTTCCATATCTTGAATCAGTTGTTTGGCAGTAGATATATCCATGGAAGGATTCACTTCAATAATGATTGTCTTTCCAGTGAGATTTTTCACAAAAAGTTGATAATTCAACAAGGCTTCTCCGAAAGCGCTCTATAAAAATAAAAGTTATTTTTTACTGAAATAGTAGACGAAATTATTAATTTACCTCTTCCAATGCTTTTACCATGATGATACAAGTGTCTTCATATAATTTATATGAGAAGATAGTGCCATCTGATTTGAGTCTTTGACCTTCATTCCAACATGCTGTACTTATTTGAGTATCTGCATTTAAAATTAGTGATTTCAATTTGATATTGTTTAATTTTTGAAGTTTTTGTATTTGTCTTGTAAGGTTTCTATATTCTCAGTCAGAAGAACTGGCAGTATAAATGAATGAGGTCGTCTATTTTCAGAATATATAATCGATATGTTGACTTCGCCGTAGGTAATAAATCGAAAACCATCAGTATGTTCGGATACAGACGATTTGAGTTCATTTTCATTAAATGGTGAAATACCGTTTTGATTCATTTTTCCAAGTTTTATCCATTTTTGTAAATATTTCGGAACATAATCTTTCTTATACTTGCTATGTATTGTATTGATGGTTTCATGATCGAAATATGCATTAGCTGTTGGATTTCCATAGGGATCGACAAATGTTAATGAACGAGATTTCAATTCTTTACGTTTTTTCTTGTCATTTTTATATTTATTATCAATAAGTGTCGCAATTTCAATATTTTGTTGTCGAATGGCGTGTGCATGAAAGACTAAATCTTCATAAACAAAGGCAGTTGACAATTTAGAAATAACAGCCGTCGATGTTGCTTTTGATGTGGTTGCATCACTGACAGAATTGTCCATCTTTGAACCAGTGGGTATCTGAAAGTAAATATAGAATTTGAACTAGATGAATTTTGTTTTTAAAGTCTTTTAACACATGTTATGAGTTATTGTCGCTACATAAGATTATTAACCGTCATCTTTTTCTCCAAAATAAATTCGGAAACTTGAGGTTTGTTTCATCTATAGGGACAGTAAGATGTTGTTTTTTCAAAAAATTTCAGTTTTTAAAATGAGAAAATTTATTCCAATGACCCATTGAAAATTCAAACTGCATTTTCTTTTATGGACAAACATATTCCTTTTTATCTTAATGATAGTAGAAGTAGTGTCATAAACTCGTCAATACGAATGAATCACCTTTTATAACGAATTGCAATGATTAGGTCTCAAAAGCATGCTAAACGCATTGTTATTGGTAAAAATCTAATTGAAGACTAAACTAGTCAATAATTACCTTCAAAGTTGTTGGGAATGAGTTCGTGATAATGGTGGGCAATTCACAAGCTATTTGTCGAACGCATTCTTTCTCTATCTATGGAAAATATGTTCTCACTTGTTACTATGAGTCGCGCACGAATGAAAGAAAATAAGTAACAACAGCTCTCATATACTTTGCATAAGGATTTTTTTAAGTGGAGACAAGGTTGGATTTTTTCTTTTACCGATAAGACAATGCGTCATAAAGATTAAATGACGTGATCTCCAAAAATGGGGACTCTCGAAAACTGATTGTAAAAACTGTATACTTACATTTTCACCACTCGCATCTTAGTTTTTCAGAAACCAATTCACACATGAAATTCTATACTGCTACTAGAATTATATTTTGGAGCCTTTATTTTTCAGAAGAGAAAATGAATAAATATCGTAGTATTTTTCTTATAACTCTTATGTGCCATTTAAAAACGAACAACATGGCACACTCATTTAGTAGTAAACGGAACAGCTTCCACTCATCATTAAAAAGAGATTTTTTACCATATAAGACGAATAAAAATTGAACTATGGCTTCAATAAGTGGGCACCCATACTAAGAGTATTTCGATGTAAGGACGAAAATCAACCACGATGAACATATGGAAAGTAAACTCGAACGACTTGCTTCAAAATATTTGCTATAAGGAAGCGATACCAAGTGTGGGTGCGAAGAGGAGAATCGTATCGTTTCACGTATGGACACCCTATTGTTGCTACTCTCGCGTGGTCATAGAGACAAAAAGCTTTTATTTTTTTCATTGAAACATAGTAAGCTGAGTTTTCATCTAAGAGTAGCATGGTTTCAGGCAAATGGTCTGTATGTTATCAAAAAGAGAAACTGAATAATATCCGTAGTTTTATGAAACTATTCTTGATTATAATGTTTCTTTTTCTTAGTTGGCACATGTCAGGTGATATTTTAGCATCAGGAATTTTTCTTATTGAATCTATATTATTTGTTGTAGTCCCGATAATGTCTGGTTTAAATTTCAATAACAACTCGATTCAGTCATTATATCGAAAACATTACAAAATGGTTTTACTCTAACATAATTATCAATAATCAACGAACTAATTCACAAAAAACGCTTTTACAAATCATAACAAATACAACAATAGTTAAAAGGAGTTCGAACAGAATTTCAATAAGAGAAACAATATATTTTCCAAGGCGCGATCTAAGTGCTAGCTGATAGATACTTATGGATATCAGGATACATACCACAATGCTATATCGAGAGCTTTCGTCATACTAATTGACCAGAAATAAGTACAAGAACAATAAGCTAGTATGTCCCACAAAAATATACAATGTCACGGTCTCACTAGAAGATAAACATCGTCAATGCGTAACTGTCTTTCATATTTTAATTCTATCCAGGTTCGGATACCGAACTTGTTTTATTCAAGAGATCTCTAAAAGAAAGGTTTCATGGATATGGTTCAATGTTAGAGAGACGTTTACCAGATAAATTTTAATTGGAAAAAGTCCATTTCTATGTTGCCAAAATATTCATTTAAGTTCTTATTCTTCACTGCCCTTGCTGTTGAAAAAGAAATTATTACAATAAAAGCCGAGGTACAACAATTTTTAACCTGTCAGATATCATAAAAAGAAATTCAACAGAAGGTAAATATTACCCTTGAATATATATATCAAGTGAATTTTATTAATCTCAATTTAAAAACATAAAACATAAAATAAAAACTGCACTGGAAATAATGAATTATATCATTGTGATACTGAAAACACTTACATACATCAATTTTCCGTCTGCATCATTAAAACGCTTTCAACAAAAAATATCATTTTAAAATTTTCAATATCACAAAAATATTTTATCATCATTATTTCTGAGAACAACAAAAACACTTTATTGACATTGTTGAATGGCATCACCTAATGCATTTCGAATCAATTCCAATGGAAAGGAGCCTTCAATTGGTTCAGCTATATGACTCAACTTTTTCATATGATCAATCACATAAAATCGAATCGGCCATGGACAATAAACTTCACTGAATGGATTAGTTTTTGATACTGGATCAATCAATAGTGGAATACGATATTCAGTTGCTTTAATGAAATCATTTGCAATCTGAATTCGATCAACATCACATTTGGGTTGAACATAACATATTCGACTACCGATTGGCCTACAAAACATTATACAGATATAGAAAAAGTAAACTTCCTAAAATAATTTACCATTCATCAACTGCATGAGCTTCTTCGATGTAAACAGTGATCATATCAACACGATCTCGATAGGAATCCATCAGCTGATTGAGTTGTGGTACAAGACCACGAAATGGTGGTCAAGTATATGAACCAGCAAGAATCAATAATGGTCGATTGGGATTACAATGAGACAATAATGAAACAGATTCACCATTCATATTTAGTAAGTCGATGTCAATAGCTGGATCACCAACACGAAGATTTCCTCTTTTTGCACGATTATGTCGAACATAAAGAGATAAATTATGAAATTCCTTGTCATCTGCATATATCTGATGAGCACTTCGTAATATACTACAACGAAACAAAAACAAAGATTTAGAATTACAATGAAGTCGAATAGTTACCTTAGACCATATTGAATTTCATCATGTGTTGCATCTTCTCCGAGAAATGTCTTGATTACATCAGTTTGTAAATCAGCGATGATATCCATCCAATCAATGTCTTTTCGATCTTCAATGCTTGCTAATAATTGTTGTGTTTGTTGACTGAGTCTCATTTGTTCTTCTTGAATAAGTAATTGTTTGAGTACATCATGTTCAAATAATTGAAATACTCGTAGTTGTTTTTGGATTGGTAATTGTCACTGATCATTAGAAGTTTCCTCATCACCGTCTTCATCTTCGTCATCAACAGCCTCTGATAGTATAATGTTTTTCAAATGTGGAACATCGTGAGGCACCGAATAGTTTTTAATTTCAGACAGCAGTTCCATTAGTAAAGCGTGCCCTTGTAAAACGGAATTTTGTAGGTCAGCCGGAGGCAAGTTGTCGAGATTATCAGTTTGCTCAAATTCAAAAACAAGGACATTTCTTATTGCTGCGGCTTGTGCGGATGGCAATTCATCGAAATTGTGTCGACCACTTGTAAAATGAAACATACCACCGCGTAAACGTAACACTATGTGCATCGTACTCTCCTTTGGAACGTTGTAATCACAGAGAGTTCGCTCGTCTTCTAGTTGTTTTCCAGCGAATACTATACGTTGCTGATCTGGAGGAATACCTTCTAGATCTTGAATCAGCTGTTTGACAGTAGATATATTCATGGAAGAATTCACTTTAATAGTGATCGTCTTTCCAGTAAGAGTTTTTACCAAGATCTCAAAATTGGAACTGGATTCTGTAGAAGCACTCTATCAAATAGCAACAGATTTCTAAATGTGAAATTAAACAAAAGTATTAATTTACCTCTTCCAATAGTTTAACCATAATGATACAATTGTTTTCATACAATTTAGATGACAAGAGAGTGTCATTAGAGTTGAGTGTTTTACCTTCATTCCAGGACGCTGTTATCATTGGACAATTTTCTTTTAAAAGCAGCGATTTTAATTCTATAGTTTTCAGTTTTGTAAGTTGCTGGATTTGTTTTTTAATCTTTTCTATGTTGTCCGTCAGCAGAACTGGTAGTAATAATGATTGAGGTCTTACATCTTCTCGATATATAATGGATATGTTGACTTCGCCACATGTAACAAATCGATAACCATCATCATGTTCGGATACTGACGATTTCAGTTCATTTTCATTCAATGGTGAAATACCGGTTTCAT